TTATTTGTGAAAAGCATCATACCAGCCTCATGCAGCTAAAACAACGCGCTCTGTGGGGACTTGTGCAAGATCTTGAGCCTGGTTGGATGCGTTCTGCCCCCAGCACATGAGAACATCCTGACTGCAGAGGGCTGGTGGCTCTGCAGCTTTGGGGCACAAACTGAGTGGAACGGAAACCCAAAGAGATCAATTTCTGCTGGAGGATCGCCAGCTCTACATGGGTACGGATCCAGGAACTGGAAGGAGCTCAGTCTTTGTCGGATTGGTTACGACAGACAGCAAAGGTCTCTCTTTATCTTTTCCGTGGAGAGATGCAGGGCTTTGCACAGACTGAGCATGCTTCTGAGAGCAGAAAGTCCTGGAGACACGAACCCAAGTGCCTTGAAGAAATGTCTGCACGACTGGGAGAGAATAAAACGCTGCTTTCACAAGTGATTTGTGCGTGGCTTCCACCTACCACAACTGGCTTCCCTTGGTTTCCCCTCCCTACTTTTGACTCTCTGCCTTGTTCCAGATGAAGTTTCCATTGGGCCAATAGGTGTGAAGGACTTATCTCAGTGTTCCCCTGGCATTTGGCTGGGAACAGAGCAAAACAGAGTTAACACCCTCATCTTTTCCTGTTTCTGGGGGGTTAAGATGCCACATGCTGAGCTACCCCTATCCTAGGGGCACCACATACAGCAAACCTTCAAAAGCATCTGATCCATTGTGCTGAAAATGAGATGTTACAGTCTTAGCAGTTCTGCTTGTGAAGCCACAGAATGGCACTTGTACTTGTAAATTTGCCTTTTATCTTTTAAAAATTGTATTCACAGCTGTGTCCTTCTGTGCATTGTTAAGCCTTCAATCACAGACCTGGAGTCAGGAGCTTAGTCCCACTTCTGGGTCTCCCTGCCCAGGGGCTGTAGAGAAAGTCTCTACTTCAGAAAGCCTTTTTTACATGCTCCTGTGGAGATGCAGATTAAGGGCTAAGGTGATTCCTTGTGGTGCACAGTAGCTGTCTGTAGCTATATTCCCTTGATTGTGCATTTGGAGTATGGTCACAGAACAGGAGTGAGCGAGCTGGGGATCTTCTTGCTAGTGCTGCCATGAAATTCAGTCATGGCTCACACATGACTGCCTGTACTTGGCCTAGGAATAGGTTAGAGTCCTGCAGTACACGTGGCTACATTAAGAACACCATACAGCTGGGCATACAGCTTAATGTGGTAACTATACTAGGAAAGAGATAAGAGTCCTTGGTTATCAATTAGGCAGTAGTACAGGGTGTGATGTCATGAAAGTCCTGAAGAGATACAGAGCATGCAGTAATCTGCAGCCAGCAGCGCAGCATGTGTTAACAGCAGCATGATGTCATCTTCTGAAAGCCTCTGAGACCCTGGCAAACAGAAACTGGCATGGCCTCAGGGGAAGAGGTCCAAGGCACACCAGCTCAGGATTTGTTGAAGAAGCTGCAATCTGCTTACGTGCACGCGTGTGAAAACGTAGGGGTGGACCAGCAAACCACAGCGCTGCAGTGGCAGTGCACAGGGCAGCAGGATCACCTGCCTGAGCAGCTGGCATCCATTGGGCAGAGCGAGGAGGTGCAGGGCTGAACGTGAGCTGAACAAGAAGGCAGGCTCCTGGCTGGCCAAGGAGCTGTGGGCAGATGAAGCTGTGGAACATCCCTACCCAAGCAGGCGAAGGTGCTGTTGAAGATGTGGTTGTTTGCTACAGGACCTAACGTGGCTACATGCATGTTAGGTTTTCTGCTAGGCACTCATCTCTAGGTGCCTTCTTAGCTGTTTAGGTAAGTATCACAGTGTCATCTGCAGTCGCTGGTTGCCTATGGCATGTTGCTCTTCTGCTGTTTCTTGCTATATGGCAGTACTCTGGGGAGAGAGGGAATGGCGAGCAGAGGTCTGTCTTGTGTTAGCACTGCCTCGGTTGGTCCTCACTCCAGTTCGTTTGAGCAGCTTCACGTTGTGATGTGTGCAGTAGTAAGGTTGACCAAGTTGGGTCTTCCTGTCTTTGCAGCTAAACACAAGCTAGCTCAGGGCACTTATTACACTTATTACCTTCTGTCTCTCCAAACAGGTTCATGCTATTGCCCTTAGTTCCAACTGCTCATCTACATGCATGCTATTAAGCAGACTGCAGTGTGACACAGCTAGATTGGTTCAGACCAGTTGAAGCCTACTCATCTGGCTCAGGCTTATAGCAAGACTCAGGAAGGGTGCTTCCATCATCAAGGGCTGATTCTGTGTTTTGGTGACACAGTGTGAGGAAAGAGACAGGTAACATTACAGTCTTGCTGCGCACTGTCAGGTGTTCATGGGAAGTCAGGTAGATGTTTGGAGAGCGGCTTGGAGTGGAATTTCCATTTCAGATTTTGAAGACTTCTGAAAACAAATAGGTGTGTAATCCCCTCGTGGCAGCGAGCTGTTCTGTGTGGAATGCAGCTCTCCTAAGGTCACCTTTTGCTTCTCTCCACAGCAAGGAGAAGAGTGTTGCAATTCTGAATCAAAACCAAAGTTTTCTGAAAGACAGGGAACATCAGTCTTGCTGTAGAAGGTGCAGACTGAGAGTAGAATCCAGTTGGCCACCATACTAGAATGGTCACCAGTTCTGTGCCACCATATTGAAGAGTTTTTCTTTTACACACATGGCTATTTCCCACTCCCCTTCCAATCTCTCTACACTGGAGGAAGCTTTGCCCTGTTCCCCATTTGCTGTTTCTCCATCCTGCCCTTGGGTGGGATGGAAGGGGTGTTCCTCCTTTACGAGGCGAGGACAAATGATGCTTTTCCCTGTTGGGGCTCAGTGCTGCTTCACTTCACTTCACGCTTTAGTGTGCGTAGCTTAGAGCTGTGGCTGACACCAAGTGCAGAGCTGTGCTGGCTGCAGGCTGTGAGCATTACCGCTCATGCACTCCCTCCTGCTTTGCTTCATCTTTCTCCTTGCGCTCTCACCAGCTTCCTCTTCTGGCCTTTTGCAAAGAGAATAACACCAAAAGGACCCTGCATGGGCAGCAGCCTCAAAGGGGGAGGGAGGATTGCTGCTCTTGTGCATGGGTGGGCACTGACCCGCAGAGATAGCAGGGCAGGCGAAGGGCTGTGCAGGCTGCTGAGCAAGGGCACGGGCAGATAGGCGCGGGGTGCAGCTGCTGGGGTTGGGCTGGAGCCTTTCGCTTCACGTTTCTCTTTTTTTGCTTTTGTTTTTTAAACATTTTGGCGGGAGCTCTGTGTGCCTATGGAACAGATGGCTGGGGCAACTGAGCGTGTGTGTGCCTGGAAGGGTCTTGCTGCAGGACCCCGATAGTTACATACGGTTACAGGAACGAGATATGCATATGTGCCTTTAAAACCGCTTTCCTGCGGTCTGTATGTTAAAGAAAGTGTTTGTTTGTTTTTAATCTTTGGTGGAATGGATGTATGGGGAATCTGGAGCATTTGACTTGTTTTTCAGTTTCTTCTAGCCAGCCTGAAGTTCTGCTGGAAGAGCTTTATGTAGTCATTCCCTATCATCATTCTTCTAGGAAAACTGTGGAGTCTTGGGAAACGTATTTCCTGTCTAACTCTGGTCCTCCTACTCAATGAATCACTTGTACTCTCGTGTTGCTTTGGGCTGACTTCCCTATTGACTTCAGTGCCTGGGATTTAATTAGAAATCTTGGGATGTTATTTGGAACTACAAAACTACATGGGATTCTTCTCTGTGCAGCAGGGCCACAGTAATTCAAAAAAAGAAATATTTGCATGTTAACTGTCCTCGGTGTGACCTGAATAGTTGCTTCACGCTTCCATATACCCCCTTTTTGCAAACTTCCCTTTATCCCATCCTCCCAGCAAACAGCAGCACCCTGTCTTTTACAGACCTCTCAACAAGCCGCAGAGCTGGAGGCCTCTGGCTGCCTGGTGCAGAGAGGTGTGCTGTTCTGCTGTTCCAGGTGTTTGTATGTGGGGACCAAATAACCCCCAGAAATTCTTCATTGGCGTGAAAATGTCTGAGTGTTCTCCCAGTGATGGGACCTTCCTGCAGAGTCACAGAGAGCCCAGAAAAGCCCATTTGCTGCTAATGGTCTCGAGTCCAGTAAGGCTGCCCTGGCCCTAGGGTGAAAAACAGCAGCCTTGCTCAGGGTGGGGCATCGTTCAGCTTCTCAAGTGCATGAACGCTGCTGTTCAGTGTCCCTTGGAGATAACACCTGCAAGGAGAGTGGGCATCAGTTTTTCAGACAAAAGCAAACACAGCCGCCCCTTCCCAGGCAGTGCCGTGCTGCTCAGCACTGTGGTTCATTATCTCCACCCCTCCCACTGAGCTGCTCGCTGCATGGGGCAGGTGAGATAAGAGGCCAAGAGGCTGCAGCAGCAGCAATGCTCACCAAACCTCCCCTTCCAGCATCACCTGCAGCACTCCTTGCCGTTCCCCAGCATTTAGGTGCCACCATGGGGCACATCTCCCCCTACAGCAGCCCAAGGGAGCAGGGATGCAGGTGGGCTCTGGCTGCCTGGGATAGGATTGCCAGAGCCCACATTTGGGTTTTCAGAACAGACACTGATCTCTCCGTGCTTCTTCAGTCACCCTTACATGTAGAAAGAAGCTGTTTTAATAAGCAAGGGCATGATATTGTAGCACACTGTGTATTACAGTGTCAGGGTGGTAGGTTCATTTAATTTAATTTTTTTTTTTTTTTTTTAAATGATTATTGCTTACATTTGCAAAAAACAGCTCTAACAACCAAATCTTTCAAGCCAGGATTAATGTTTTTGAACTGGTTTTGCTTTTTACAGAACAATACAGAGGTGAGCGGTTGAAGCAAAGCTAAATATCTGTGTTTGTGAAACTCTGCTTAACTGGCATGCTAACAAAATTAGGGATCAGGCACAGAAAATAGCCTTTTGCATACTTGCCAACTTGCCATGGAATAAGTTTCATCTTTTGCGCTGTCCTTTGCTTGTGAGTGAACTCTTTATCCTCCATACAGAGCTGCTCATGTGCATTTTGCATTGCTCTCTTTCCAGGTTAAGGAACTTGTTCTTGACAACTGTAGGTCATACGAAGGCAAAATTGAAGGCCTCACAGATGAGTTCGAAGAGCTGGAATTCTTGAGTACAATCAACGTAGGCTTAACCTCAGTTGCAAACTTACCAAAGTTAAACAAACTTAAGAAGGTAAGTATATCCTTTCTCCTCCTCTTTGTAATATGCTGAATGTAAAATGGTTGTCTGCATAAAAATGTGATTTATGACTGACCAAGCTGCTTTGTGATGCGTGTTTGCACTAGAAACTGAAGGTGTTTTTGTGCCTTTTAGCTCGAGCTAAGTGACAACAGAGTCTCAGGAGGACTGGAAGTGTTGGCAGAAAAGTGTCCAAACCTCACGCATCTAAATCTAAGTGGCAACAAAATAAAAGATCTTGGTACAATAGAACCTCTGGTAAGTCGGTGGATAGAGCAAAACCAAAACTAATTTTGTGAAGAGAAGGGGCAAAGCGCTGGCTCGGCAGAGACGACGCTCAGGGTTTTGACATTCTGCGCCCGCTTTTAGTTGAATGCCTTCAGCCCCTGTGCTCGTCCCCGCAGCCTGGCGGCCCTTGCTGCCGGACACCTGCAGGGCTCCGAGCGGCCGGAGCCGGGCGTCCCCGCGGGGAGCGTGAGCCGCTGCTCCCCCCTAGCGGCCAGCGCTCCGCCCGGAGCAGCCGGGGCTGTCCGGGCTTTGGGCGGTGTGGGACAGAGGGACAGCCCCGCGGGGGTGGGGTCACCTATGGGCTGCCTTGAGAAGCAGAGCAGTGCTGCGCCGTGATGATCGAGAGGAGGCAGTGAGCAAGAGGCAGCTTCCAGCTGAATTTCCAGCTCCTTCCTCCTGGTTTCCATCGTTGTGTGTTGCTCGCTGCTGATGTATGCTCCTTATTTCAGTGCTGAGTTCAGGTTTATCAGGTTGCTATTCCCAAAACCATTCGACTATTGATCCTAACAGTGCTTTTTAAACCAAAAATTAGGAAATAGTACCGTGTGCCCTTTTTGTCCAGAAATGAAGGCTTTCAACTCATGCCCACTTCCCAAATACTTGCTCCTAAATGTCTTGAAGAGCATCTTTGAAATGAGCCCTTGGCTCTCCTTCCCTCCAGTGGGAGGGGAAAGCAGAGCACTAAACTCATATAGCAAACAGATGAGGGAGGATTATAACTACTCCTGGTTTCAGACTCGTTTTCTTGTCACCATTGCTGTACATGCTAAACTCTGGAAGAGAGATATTTCATAAGGCTTGATACAAATCCTTAACTGCTCTGCTTGCACTTTTATTGTTAGTACTTTGAAGTGCTGCTGGTGATGCAGACCTCTTATCCAAAACAAAAAAAATTCCCTTTTGGATTTCTGAGTCCTTTTCTCATTCTTCCAAAATCAAAGACACAATCATCAAAATATTTAACATCTCTTCTAGTAAAATTCTTGTGTCTGAAGAATGGTTTGTTTCCTTTTCCATTGTAAACAGTAGTCCTAGGATAACTCCCTGCTCTGCTAGTTATTCTTAACTTGGTCCCTCACAACACATGTGATTTTTGTACCATTACCTCTTTCCAAATCTCAGTCTTCCACTTGCAAGGTGCTTAACTTAAGAGAGAGTCTTTTCCACTCACAGCAGCACTCCCAGGCACTGCAGATTTCTCTTCTGCCCCAGTTTCGTAGGCAGAGGCTGAAATGACCCCTTTTGTCCCAAGAAGCTCTTGAACACATTAACCAGCTCTTGTTAAAGTGTCTGTCCTGTAGAGTTTTATTGCAGCACCGAACTTCAGAGACTTTTCTTTCCTTGCAGAAAAAGTTAGAAAACCTGAAGAGTTTAGATCTTTTCAATTGCGAGGTAACCAACTTGAATGATTATAGAGAAAACGTATTCAAGCTCCTCCCACAACTCACATACCTCGATGGCTACGATCGGGATGACAAAGAAGCACCAGACTCTGATGCAGAGGGCTACGTGGAGGGCTTGGATGACGAGGAGGAAGATGAAGATGGTATGTGAATTGTGCTACTTAGTGTGTGTAAGTTAAAAGAGCAATATGCTGCCTAGTACGTATTGCTTCCAGCTCTGATTTGTTGGCAAGAGAAGGGTGTTCTCAGCAGCTTCTTCCTGACTGATGTAAAGGAGAAGTACCTCAGTGTCCTGAAGGAAAGAGGGGAAAGGAGGTGGTCAGGGCCTGAAAGAACAACTTTCTCAGTCTTATCTCTAGTGAAAGATCGGGATGACAAAGAAGCACCGGACTCTGACGCAGAGGGCTACGTGGAGGGCTTGGATGACGAGGAGGAAGATGAAGATGGTATGTGAATTGTGCTGCTGGGTGTACCTGAGCTGGAAGGTTGATGTGCTGTGTGGTATATTTTGCTTCCAGCTTTGGCTTATTGGCAAGAGAAAGGTGTTCTCAGCAACTCCTAGCTGAGTGATGTGAAAGAGAAGTGCTTCAGTCCTAGCAAGGGGAATGGAGATGGGCAGGGCCTGAGAGCTTTTTTCTCAAGCTTATTTCAGCTGAAAGATGGGGAGTGAAAGGCTTCAGACTAAAGGGGTCAGAAGGAAGAAGACAGGCAGTAAGGACACCAGAACAGTTAAGGGAACAGTAACCATCAGGGGATGAGTATGTAGGGGAGAAACATAAGAAAAGATGAGATGCACACCCTTCAGTTTTCCAGGAACCATCAGGGAAGTGTGTGTGGTTGCATAGACCCTGACAGAGAAGGGCAGAGCAGGAAACTGGAGTGGGCCTAGAAAAGAGTAGCTGAGTCAAGGGATCAAGTAGAGAAGCTAAAGCATTGCTGGGGGGAGGTTATAGCTTGTCTTTGAGGACGAACAGATCTGATTGGGATCAGGAAAAGAGTGGAGAACGTATGTATTGAAGCTTGCCTGGGGCAATCTCTGTGAAAGGCACTAATGAAGCAGCAAGCAACTTTTTAATAATAGGAAAATGAACTGTGGGTTCCAGTGTGCTGTAGGTGCCGTTCTGCCTCCCTAGCAGACTGCACTCAGAGGCATCAGTGTGCTGGTTGGATGAGTATCAGGCTGACTTTGGGGAATTTGCTAGACTCTTCAAACCCAGCTGCGCAGCAAAAGCAGAATAGCTGGACTTGCACTTTTCCCTTGAGTGCTGAATGTGAGCCCTGGTGAAAGGGGTGAAAGCTGCAGCAATGCCAGGCAGACTGGTGCATTCATCCAGCAGCACAAAGGTTCAGCATGGACAGGTTCTCTTCATCAGAGCACAAGTCTGAGCCTGTGCTGAAATGCATGAGAAAGCTCCCAAAACACCATTCCTGCAGCATGAGAAACATTCTTGGCTTGTTGCTTGGGCCGGTTGCATTTAAGTACTTTCCTCTTGAAAACAAATTGCAAATTCTTATGGTGGATTGTGACCCCCTTTGTATTGCTGCATGAAGGCAAGGTGCTTCCCCTAGGGAGAGTTCCCACTGCACAGTTGGCTTGTAAAAAGTTCCATCCCATTCCTGTTGGAAAAAGATGGACGCTTGCAGTTGAAAAGCTGCAAAGCTGCACAAGCTCTAAAACGCATTTCAGTAGTGGGAACTGGAGCAGCTGAACCAGTCCTGAGGCTGCTGTGACTTGCTGTCAAGCATCCTGCAGCCCTGGAGCAGCTCCATCCATGGAGACAGCTGCCCCACTACCCTGTTGCCTGGCTAAAGAGGAGCAGAACTGTGCCTGTCCCTGCCCAGCAGCAAGAGGGCTTTTGATTCTGTATTGCGTGTAAGCAGTGCTTTGTTTGCTCCTTGTGTCAATTAGAGATCCTGTATCTTAAGACAGTGTTGAAAAAATAAGTTCTAAATGTCTGAGTAATTAATCTTGTTTAACTATATAGAAGAGGAGTATGATGATGATGCTCAGGTAGTAGAAGATGAAGAGGATGAGGAGGAAGAAGAGGAAGGAGAAGAGGAGGACGTAAGCGGAGAGGAAGAGGTGAGGATTTATGCAGCTAATAATGGTATGAAGTGAACATTCTGTAACTGGGAATAGCTGGGCACACAATGGACAGAAGGCTGCAGGCCTTTTCCAGAAAGCATGCAATTGCTTTATGTTTGCACCTGAGAAGCATCACAGCGAGGGTGTCTTTGAGGACTGCCTGTCTGTGAGCCAGCTGCCATCTAGTGACCACTGACATGAAGTCATTCTGGTTTTGCTGATGTCAAAAGTACTATCAGAAATGTCTGCAGACGTAGCATATGGGTCCCTGAGTGGCTGGGTTTACAGGCAGGAGTGGGACATGAGTTATTGGCCTTGTGACCTTAGTCTGAGGTTCTTCTCTGTATGTGTGCCTTGTGATTCTTCGGGATGCTTGAATTCTTAGCATCGTCCTGCTGCTGTGTGTGGGGCATGACACGCTGGCCACGTTCTGCTGAGGCTTCACTGTTAACAGAAACACTGGGAAGGGGGCTGAAATTTGTCTGTGGGAGGTTAGCCACTCAGAATCTGAGGTGTCTGTCCATGTTGTAACTCCTTACCCACCCAATGTGTGCCTTCTCCTGCTGAGCAATCATAAGGAGCAGTCATCAAGTTTTACTGAACTCAGGGCATCATAACAAAATTTGCAGCTACTTATCATCTGAAGTATGGAACCACTTACTTGCTGAAGAGTTGAAGCTAGAAGTGGTGCTGTGATTTTCTGCACTGAAACTTGGGCCAGAGTCCAGTTATGCTGCAGAAAAAAACTTCCAACAACTGCACTTATATAAGCGTGTGGGAAGTGTCTGCCTTTTGTTTGGTTTCTAAGATGCTTCAAGGACTTTCTAAACTTCACCAAATTGTGAAAGATTCTGAGCTGAAACCAACTTTCTTACCTATTGTTGTTGTTTCTCCAGGAGGACGAGGAAGGCTATAATGATGGTGACGTAGATGATGATGAAGATGAAGAAGAACCCGGTATGGCAGTAATCCACTTTTTCCTTGAGATTAAAGAAAAGAGATAGATAGATGGATAAGCTTTCTAAAAAGCAGGCTTGTGTTTTCATTCCTGCTCCTTTGGCCACTTGGCAGCAGAGCAGAACTCACTGAACTTGCCCAGCATCTCAGCCACTTGTGGAAGCTCTCATGTCACTCAAGTTGTGTTTCGTTTTTTCAGATGAAGAACGGGGACAGAAGAGGAAACGAGAACCCGAAGACGAAGGAGATGAAGATGACTAAACTGAATAACCTATTTTGAAAATTTCCTATTGTGATTTGACTGTTTTTACCCTGTATTTCCCCTCCCCACACCCCCAACCTTTTTTCTTTTATTTTTTTCTTTTATTTTTTTTTTTTCCTCCTGATTGTAATGTTGCTGTGGGAATGAGAGGAAGAAGCAGACCGGGTGGGCAAGGGAATAAAATACTATTTTTACTGCCACTCCTCCTCCTATTCATTTAATATATATATTTTTTCTTTTTGTCCCTCTTTTAGTCCCTGTAACTGCAATAGTAAGTATAAACCAAGTGGTAATTTGTTTCTTATTATCGGAGTGGATAGTTTGACATCCCTGAAGAAAAAGAGTTTTAAAATCAGTGGATATACCCCAAATACACATGCTTTGTTCTGAGACAGCTGGATATCCTCGGTTGCTGAAGTTTTCCACCTCTGCCAGTCACAGAATACATTGTAAGCGTTTCTGGGGGTGCTCCTAATCTAGGCAAAGCACCCCTCTGCAGCAACAGGTGTGAGAATGGCATATGGATAAAGTGATTTCTTTGTTGCCTGTCCGTGAATGACTGCCATTTTCAGCCATTGCTTTCCCTGCTTTTTGTAGGTACCTTTTCTTTCGCTGTCTGTAAATAGTGACCAAATGTTTCGGGGGGGTTTTTTGGGGTGTTCCTTTGGATCTGGTTTGTGGGGTGAATTTGCAGTCCCCTCCCTCCCCCTGCGTGTTGTGTTCTTCTTTCCTTTCTGTTCTTTGGTTGTTTTGTTTGGTTGTTTATGGCTAGGGTACAGCCAATACACTGAAAATGGCAGGCATTTAAGTATATATATATAAATATATATAAAAAGTGTTCCTAATTCCTGAGTTACTAGTGAAATGACTTTGACAATTGTAATAAAAAAAAAATGTTTCAACCCTTTTAAATAAGGTGTGTACTATTTTGGTCTGTAATATATAACACCTAGTCAATTTTAAGTGATGAGAAACTACTTCCACTTGTGCTATATACTTGGAAAATTTTTACAAACCTAAATACAGGAGGCAGTACAGCATGTAGGGTAGAAAGTTTCTTTTCATACACTCAAGCACGAGATACTAATACGAAATTGTATTTTCTTACCTAGTGGAAGTCAGTAAAATGACTGAAAATACCTAGTGAATGTACAGTTTTACTTTCATATCCCTCTTTAAAATAGCTTTAGAAGTGACTTGTATTTCCTAGTCAATATTTCATCTGTATAAATACATTTGCAACAGTTTTTTTTGTTTTTGTTTTTGTTTTTTTTTTTCCCCAGAAGAGCCAAACTTTGAGTTTTATGTCTGTTTGTCATTGATGAATTTCAATAAATCTTTTTATACAATTTTTTTTTCTCTGTGGCTTATTTGAGTCAAATGTGCCACTGGGAATGAACTGCACGCCTTTTCCAAAAGGCACTCAGTAAGTTATTCTGGTAGACGCCCTGATGTTTTTAGTAGCTGGATGATATGTTTTGCTCTACAGAACTGTTAGCCACAGTTGGGTGAAACCAAGGGAGAGGTTCTGACTCTGCTGTAAATAATAGCATGCCGTTTTTCTTTCAGAACAAGCGGGTTTTTTCAGTGAGCAACGTGATCAGCGCAGCCCGGCGCGTTCGTTCCTGCTGTCTGTTTAATCCCACCCCTGTTTATCCGGGCCCAGAAGAAAGAACTCTTGGTTTCCTTCATCCAAGTGAGGCTCTGTGTGAGCCCCAGGTCAGTGTGTCTGGGGCCTGAGGAGCATCCCTCGCTCTCGCCCACAGCCAGCCTCCTGTTCCTCTCAGCCAGTCCTCAGCAAAGCCTCTGCATTTCCCTCTTTCAAAGAGTTGTTGGCAGAGCAGGCTGTGTTTTTTGAGCACTTGAGCGTGTCTGCGTGCCGTGCGAGAGGAGAGCGAGGAGCTGCAGAGCATCGTATGCTCATCCTTCATCGGGTCTCTTTGAACAACTCTTCTTGTTGTAACAGGCAGGCTGCTGGTGGTGGTGGGTTGGGGTTTTGTTTGTGGGCTTTTTTTTGGCTGTTTGTTTTTGAGAAGCAGGCAAACTGTTGCTCCCACCCCAGCCAGGGTCTGCTGCTGCAAAGCCAAAGCCACAGCCTGGCCAGGCAGGGTCATAGTCCTGCAAAGCAAACAGCAGCAACCAGCAGCAAAGACAAACTGAAGAGCTCACAAGCTCCAACCCAAACAGAGCCTTTGTGTCATTGAACCAGCTTCAAATTCAAAGGTTCCAGGTGAGCTTTGTACTGGCAAGCTCGGCCTCTGAGCGTTTTTCTGAGGGTGGAAATTTTCACTCAAGCTATTCAAAGCATTCAGCAGCAGCTGGACCTGACCCTTCCTCCAGAACGAGCCAGAGACTTGGAAATGAGCACACTGCTTCCCTGTGCCCCTTTGCATGCAGGAGATGCAGCAGCATGGCTTCACGTGGCAGTGCTGGAGTGACATTTGTTTTAACCTTTGTCACCCATGGGCTCTAGTGAGCCACTGCTGCCTTGCAAAGCAGCTCTCACTTTCATCTGGGAAACGTGCAGACACCGCTAAGCTCTTCCCTTTCATAAGCAGTGACTGACCCAGGTGTCAATTAAGTGACACTTCTCTTTGTACTGCTGATTATCTCAAAGCTTACTTTGAAATTAATGAGGTTTCCCAAAGAGAGGTGCAGCAGTGAGCCTGCTGCTAATGCAGGGCCACTGTTTACTGCCTGCTTGCTGCAGCAGAGCCCTGTGCATGGTCTAGCACTGCTGGTACACTGACTGCAGGTAGGAAGCAGGATTTTGGTTGCACCTTTGTGCTGGGAAGGGGGTGCTGCAAGGCTTTGCTGCCGCCACTGAGGGCAAAACGGAGCTTTGCTTAATGTGGCTGATTTCCTCATTATTTCTCTAAGCGTGGCATTGACGTGCTGCATGCCAAGGGCTTGTTTCCCAAGTAGCTAGAGGTACCAACTTGCAGCCTCCTTATGGGGGGAAAAAAAACTGCCCAGAGCCTGGCATTTGGTGACAGATCAGCAGGAAAGCCCAAGAAAAAGTAAAAATAAATAACAGACGGCTCCAGCTCATTCAAATGCCTGTTTTCCTCAGCTTGGCCGTTCCCACTTTCTCCTCTGAGTGTTTGGGCTGGAGAATGGCATCGTGCTCCTTTTCTGCTATCAGTTGTTTGTTGACGCTGCTGCTTTCACTCCTCCTTCCCAGAGCCAACAAAAACCCAGTGGAGAATTTCTGGCTTTAACCATCTTCTGTTTGGAGTTTCTGTTTTTCTGTTACAATTGGAAGCTGCAGCAGTGCAAAACGTGCATGGAGAATGGAAGCATCGGCAGAGGGAGAACCAGCCAAGCTCTTGGAACATCCCTCCTGTGAGAAAACCACTTTTTACTTCTAACACCTTCCTGGAGCACCTTTGCTACAATTTTAATTCTGCTGCGATGCAGTCTGAGCTCAGTGCTGCCGGGCAATATTGCAGGGGATGGAATGTTCCCATGCTGAGCCCTGGCTGTGTTTGAAAGCCTCCTCGCAGGGAGTCTTGCTTTGGGTCAGAAAGCAGCAGTGCATCGTTTTAAAAATGTGGGTGGTTTTGTTTTTTCTTCTTTTTAGCTATGAGAAATCTGAGCTCCCAAGGGCAGCCCTGAGCCTCGGGGTGGTGGGGAAGGCAGGGCCAGCAGCACCCTCAGCTCATTGATGGGAAACTCCACTGATTTAACTGATGGGCAAAAACACAGGGGCTCTTCTTTTCTTAAATTGCTCAATTTTTGCTTTCAGAAAGCAGTTCTTACATTGTCTGCACGTTAAAGGGGCTCGATCACAGGAGATCTTTTCCAGCAGGCGCTCGCTCCGAAGATGCTGGAACCAATAATGCGAAGGATGGGAAGCACCACACGGCCAACCAAGCATTTGCCTCCGACAGAGCACAACCTCCAGGAAGCAGAAAGTAGGTCAGGGCGATAAGGCTGAGCACGGATGGGGAAAGCAGAGCAGGAAGGAAACATCCCTGGCTAGGGCTGCGCTGGGAAAGGGCCGGCTGCTGCTGCTGGCGGCTGAGTTCTGAATCCTTTCTCCTTCTAACCCACTGTCCCTGAAGCTGTGCCATCAGCAGCACGAATGAAGGGCGAGCCTTCTGCTTGGATGTGTGTGGGGAGAGCCTGGAAAATCCTGCAGCTAAATCAGGTGTTTCAGAATTGCTGAGGTTGCAAAAGGTCCTGGAGGTGCTGTGCATCCCAGGATGCAAGGGAAGCGTCTTTAGGCTTTAAGCAAATTGTAACGCTTGCAAGAGAAATGGAAAAATAATAACTGGGAGCTTTATGTCATGGGTCTTATTTAGACCATGGTAAAACACTGCAGACTGCCCAGAAGTGCTGAAACACCCCCCAGCCCCAAAAGCAGAGCAGAGCAGGCAGCTGGGATGCAGCTCAGTGCAGAAGCTGTCTCATGGCCCCGTCCTGCAGGGACAAGGGGAGATTGGGTCGGTCCTTATGGTGAGCCATAAGGTTGGAGCAGCACAGGGAGCTCAGCGCTAAAACTGGATGGCTCGAGTTCCCCAAAATGGGCCTTTCTGCTTTAAATAGCACCCAGATGGCGCGAGAGGAGATGTCAGGAAGAATTCAAGCTGTTACTGAGAGGAGGGAGCTGGAGGAAAAGGTGCAAGCGCAGGAGCAGCAATAGCCTCACCCGGGGTTTGCCCTAGAAACTGCAGAACCAGGGCTTGTCTGTCTGTGGGGCTTTCATAGGGCTGGGAGGAGCTGGGCAGTAGGAGGCAGGGCGGGCACCCACATCCCCCCCTCAGTGCAGGCACCAAACCTGCTGGGTTTGTGCTGATGTGTGCGGATATGCTGATGGCCTCATTAATCATCCCCAACCTGCAGCCATAATTGGGCTCATTTCACGTGGATTCCAAGGGCTTGGGAGAAACAATCCATCTTCCCGTGCAAAAGGTGAATTAAAGAAGTGCTAGCCTGCTGCCTTCGGATAAGGGCGCAGACGTGGATAACCGCACGCAGGACCAGGATGGTGCTGGGGAAGCGATGGCATGGGTTGAATTTCTCATCCCTACAAAGAAAAGCCTTTTGGGACCTGTGCCCAGGACTCTTGGTTGCTTGTGATTTGAAGAAAGAAGCAGGCAGCAAGGTTTTGCTATCTTGAAAACATTTTATTTTGTCACTAGTCCGTGATAGCATAAATAATAGGCAATGACAGCACATGGAATGTAAAGACGGGGAAGCGTCGGGTATGGGGCACAACGAAAATCAACAGGGAGAAACCATTGCACAGGTAGTGCTAGGCGACTCAGCGACTTGATTTAGTGAAAAGAGAGGAACTAGCAGTATTTGGTGTGCGCTAAAGGCCTAATTCACAACCTGTGATTGTACACGTGGGTGTGCTGTGCCCTCACGCCCTTGTCCAGGGGCAAAGGAGGAGGTCAGGTCCCTCCGTGGAGGGGAAGGAGCAAAAATACCTCTGTGGTTAGGACATCCAGCCGTACTGCTCTCAATGTTTTTCTTTCAACGTTTAAAGAAAGTGCTGCGTGACCACGCGCACAAACACCATTTGCAGCTCCCGCGCTGTGCTAACCCAGTTCCAGTTTAGCAGCCGAGGGAATCTCTGTCACGTTTTGCATAGGAAAAAGATTAACAGCGAGGAACCACGGTGCCCTCTGCCAGCTCCAGGGCAGCCGGTGCACCCAGCTCCCCTCCTTTGTGCTGGAGCTGCATTGAGTGCAGACGAGGCAACGAGGACTTGTTTCCAGTTAGCAGTGGGCTCTTGGCAGGTCACTTGACTTCTGGCTCGTATTCTGTGTAAGTGGATACAATAAAATTAAAGAGCGAGTATAAACAAAGAGAGTTTATTTATAAAACGTCCCTGGAAGTTAATTATTCTTCGGGCTGTTGCGTAAATTCTTCAGCTCCAGCTGTAGCTGGCGGATCCGAATGTCTTTCTGCGAGAGCTCGTCCTTCAGCCGCCGGATCTCGTCCTGCTGCCGGAAGAACATCCGAAGGAGCTGCAAGGAGATGGGAGCGGAGCTGCAGCGGGACTGCTGCATAACCTCCTGCTTTGCAACCCTTCTGTTTTCCAACCCCATTGCTTTTGCAACTCTGCTGCTCTTTCAATGCCACGGCAGCAACGCACTTCCTCCTTGCTAGGGTTGCATTTCCCTACCCTGTGCATGCACCCTGCGAGAAAGCCAGCTTCCTGTATGTTTCCCCAGCATTTCCCAGTGTTGTTCCAGGAGGATTTAATTAAAAGAAAAGTCAGGAGCATCACACTGCTCATTTGGGTGCATCCACCAGGTTTAAAGCGGGGTGCCCCAGGAATGCACAACTGGGAGCAGAGAGCCAGAGCGCAGCAGCTGGTTGGGCTGCAGACGAACCTTGCCCCCCAAAATGCCCCAGAAGGACCCAAACGACCAGCCTGGGGCCACACTAACAGCACAGTGCTCCCCACCTCGTTCTCGGTGCGGGGCGGCACGTTCTCCAGCAGGTCAATGCCATTCACCACCACGCTCTTCTTCTCTCTCACTGGCGCCTTGAAGACGATTTTGGATGTTCTCTTGTAGCCCTCCTTCAGCGACATCAGGATGGGGTCTGGGGGCAGAGCAGGGGCTGAGCGAGGGCTGCTTTTGGGGCTCCCCCCACTGCCAGGACAGAGCCACAGATGCCTGCAGGGCTGTGGTTCATTCTTTTACCTCTGTTCACCCCGCTCAGCCACTCGTCTGGCGTGAGGGCCGGCTCCGTGCCCGGGGTCATGGGGTAAATGTCCTCTTGGTACGTCTCCGACTACAGAACAGGGAAATAAAAGCACCGAGCTCCATAAAGGATCCCATCCATGCACTGCAATTGCTCCCTCCCTCCATCAGCGTGCAATAATGCAGCCACGTGGCAGCATCCAGGAAAAACAACAAACCCACGTTTGCTGTGCTGAGTCAAACCAGAAAGAAAGCATCCCAGGGCTGTGCACTGAGCTCATGCTCTGCAAGGCAGCGATCCCGGGGCTGTGCAGGGCTGTACAGGACTTTCACCTTTGTCCCTGCCCAGTGCCATGCTGTGGAGGCCACAGGATGCATTTGGTCTACAGCAGGCAGAATAAATGAATGTCACCCATCAGGATGACAACAGAGCTGGAAAGTTCCCAAAGGGCCCTGAGCTCTGCTCTGGGCTACAGCACTCAACTGAGGGCTGATGGATGCTGAGCATTCGCGCAGCAAAAAGCAGCCGCCAAGGGCAGAAGTGTACAGAAATGCACCTTTTGAAGATGTCCCCATCTTACCCACAGGTCAAACTCCACCCACTGGGAACTGCGTGTGTTGGAAATGTTACCATGGGAAGGTCCGAGGCTGGACCAAAGAAGACCCACCTGCTGGATAGGATGTCCACCCCTAGGGCACTCACCCTCCTTGGCACGATCATGGAGATGGGCTCGATGAGTCCCTTCAGGGTGACCAGCTTGTAGAAGCGGAAGACCTCACAGGCAGACACATCCAGCCCATGCTTCGGCATCACCCCTGCGAATGGTGAGTGAAATAACTCCCCTGTAATAACCTCCAGTGCTGCAAACGCTGAGACCCAGCCAGCCAGGACCCCAAAAGGCTGTGGATCACATCATTACAAGACCCATGTGTGGCTGAATGCATCCCAGTGGGGCAGAGCGGGGCTTTTGTAGGGACAGTGGGAAAGGGATGAGCAGCTTTGATTGAGGAACAAGTGAGTGATCCTGGCAGGGACCCAGGCTTAGCATCAGCGGAAAGAGACTCAGCAATGGGACGCTTTGGATTAACCCTCCATTGGCTGCCCCATGGCATCCAGCCCCCCCTCATGTCTGCTCTGCAGGATGCATCTACCAGCATCATTTCATTAAGCACTCCTGCGGTTGACCTTCTGCGCAGGAAGGCTCAGCAGTGGGGCGAGCTGCCATCCTTACCCAGTCCTTTCTGCGGGGCAGGGGAGCGAAACTCCATCAGGTAGCTCAGGTAAGGCTTCTCTGAGCCAATCTCATAGTACCGAATGTTGCCGTCACCCTGGAGTGAGAAGAGTGTGATTAGAGCTGCACCGAGTACAGATCATGCTAACATCCCCTGGCCCCGACCTGCAGGGGATTTGTTTTGGTGTTTTGCAGCACCAGCTCCCAACATTGCCGTGCCGGCACCAAGCCCACAGACCTTGCCAGCTAAATACAGCATGTGAGTGTCTGCGTCGTAGAAAGGGAAGAGCAGCCCCGAGAGCCCATCGATCTCCTCCTCAATGAGGGGCATGGAGAGATCTTCCTGCACAATGGGAAAAATTGCTTTTAACCGTACAGCGATGGAGACGTCACAGGGTTTGCATTGCACTGGGATAAGCCCACCGCCTTCCAACGTGGTGCTGGAGGTTGGAGATGCCCTGGCTCCCATCCAGGGATGCAGAGCAGGGCATCCCCAGTGAGGTTTGCCACGGGCAGGGCTCTCCCAGCCCCCCGGTCTGGGCATTTTGGGACCACCTTTAGCTGTGGTATCCTGAAAGGGAGTCCCAGCCACCAACCTGGTCCCAGAGCGCGATCTGCCGTGTGTTCCAGCGCGAGACCCCAGTGGTGAGCAGCCGCTTCGTGCTGCCCAGGAAGACCACGCGGTTGACACGGTGGTTCTTGCAGCTGGCTTCCTGCAGGACAGGGCAGGAGATGAGCACCGCCAGGAAACCACTGCCTTCCCCCAGGCCACGTACCTTCCCACCTCCATTCCTATTGCTGCCTGTTCTTAGCTTCTATTGCGTTCCACCCAAAGGGCTGTGATGTGACTGGGGATCCCTCCTGTGCCCCCATTTGCAGACCCTTCCAGACCCCTCACCTGCAGCACCCGGCCGGAGCGCGGCTCTACCACCCGCAGCTTCTTGTCCTTGCAAGAGGTGGCCAGCAGGCTGCCATCCGTGTTGAAGGACATGCACAGGATGACATCCGTGTGGCAGTCGATCATCTTGACGGGCTCCCCGATGTCCAAGTTCCAGATGAGGACCTGTGGAGGGGGTAAGGCTGTGTTTTGGGCCATCCTAAAATTCATCTGGGTGCTGAAACCGCTTGCTCATCGCTTCCAAAGCCCTCAGCCCATCTTTATGGGGTCACCCCTTGTGCAAAACGCCTACAGGAGGGTGCAAGGCACGGTGCATGGTTGCGTTTTGGACACCAGGAGCTGTTTGCATGCGGTTCCCTGGGCTCACCTTGTAGTCATAGCCGGCGCTGAAGAGGATGTTGTTGGTGGTGGGGTGCCACTCGACCAAGCCAACGCGCCGGCTGTGCCCATACAGCTCCAGCACCGCCTCCGTCATGTTCCTCTTCAGGCCCCCCTCTGGGATTTCCCATATCCGCACCTGCACAGGACACATATTGGGAGGTCGTATCCCCAGCAGGAGGCCAATCCCCCCTAGCAATGTATAGAAGTTATCATCTAAGGTGGGAGACAGCTCCCCATGATTCATAGCCATGATCTGCATTTCTTCCCCATTGAAACACTTCCTTGACAAGCTCTCAGTGACCAAAAATATACCAATAAGTGGTGCTGAAGGAGAGGACGAGTTGTTGGGTGACAGCATTCAGTGAAATGCAGTGTCTTTGTGAGCTGTCAAAAACTGGGTCACCCCAAAGCCTGGCTTCTGCTGTGCAGAATGGGCCACGCTCCGCTCCCTTGTAGAGCCTTTTTCCTTTCCGTTACACTCTTTGGGATGGACTCGTGTGCATCCAGCAAATAAGGGGGAGGCAGATGTCATCTGATACAGATGACCTGATTCAGTGTCCCCCCAGTGGCAGGGCTGCCCTTGGCTCACACTGCTGCATGCACCAGGACACGAGCACAGCCGCAGCCCTGCGGTCTCTGCTAGCAGGAAGGATTAATAATAGCACTGCTGTTGGGCTTGCAAAAAGCCATCACTGTGCACAGCTGTGCAGGGACACAGAAAGAGCAGCACTCAATGCCACATGGCACAGGGCACAGCAGAGGGGCTGATCCCCAGCAGCAGCCCCTACACTGATGGCACACGAGCTGCAGATGTGCACAGTGTGCCACACAGCTGTGGATTTACACAGTCTTCCTGTTGCCCACTCTTTGCTCGCTGAGCCATCAGCAGGGCAGCGCACCACTCACCGAGGTGTCCTCGGAGCACGAGGCGATGATGTTCTCAATGAAGGGGTTCCACTTGATGTCGAGCACATTGCCCTGGTGGCCGCAGACTTTGGGGTAGTTTGGCTCGATCCGGCCTGTCTGTGATTAAAAACGAGAGAGAAAATTCAGTAAAACAGCCCTGTCTTTTTAAGGCTGGAGCCCTAGCAGGAGGCAGCCCCTAGCTCACCAGGGTGCTCTTTCCCTGGGAAGGCTCAGCTGAACCCTGCAGGCTAAGAGGTTTTTGTGAACACAGGGCTGTTCCACATGAGCTCCTGCACCACTAGTGGGGGGTTTGGTAAGAAATCTCTGTATGACCACTTGAAACCACAGGCAAATAGCTGGGACTGGAGAAGCACCAACCTCAACCCTGGGCTCAACCTCAACCATGAGGTGAATTAGGAAACAGATGGTATTTTCCTCCCAAACTTTGCAAGTAATCTCAAACATGGTCCATGTGTCCATGATATTCCAGTTATCAAATCCCCAGGGACTTTAGTAACATGAACTCTCTTGCTTAATGATGCTAATAACGCAGCAGCTATCCCAGGCCAGTTGATGTGCTCCTTTCACGTGGATGGAAATCCTTCAAGACCTTTCGAATGGTCGACGCTTGTCAGCTGGGTGAGGGAAGCTGCAGCAGAAAACAGCATACAGCTCCTGGTACAGCCTGATGCTGGTTCCCACTGCAGGTTGGTCCCACGAACCCCATGCACTGCTGTCAGAATCAGTCATAGAACTATGAAGTCAAAGTCATAAAACCATAGAATCACAGGGTCATAATAGAACCATAGAGTCATGGAACTATAGAACCATAGAGTCATAGAAC